TACTTGTATGCAGGAAGTATGCACGAGGATGAGAAGAAGTTTTCATCTCGACGACTCTAAGACGTCCAAGTCAAAGATCCACCCGAGAAAAGAGATAAGTGAGGGTTTAGTTTGGTGTCCCGCCCGAAGATCATTGACATCATCTGCTTTTTAAGGGAGATGATAAGAGATGTCCACAAAAAGAATTAGGTTGAGACTCTCTCCATGAGGAATCCCTCTTCCCGAATTTGGAGACGATGTCCTTCATGTTTTGTCTCTCTTTGTATGTTCACTCATCTTTGTCTTCACTCGTTTCTCATGATATCTTCCGATTGCCTCATTCTTTAAAGGCCAACCAAACATTGGACCTTATCTTTACTTTAGCCTATGATTTTTTATATATGCAATTGTCACATTGCTAACTTAATTCTTAGGGGATGAAGTGTGGTTTTTCATAGATTGTCGGTAAGTTGGTCATTTTCATTTGACTTTCTGCAAATTAGACGACATTTCTAGAAGCCTACTAGAAGGTACATAAGCTTTTATACAAAATTGGGATGTAAGTCACTCTATGTTGACATGGCGACCTCCCACTATAGAGTGTAATGCATTTTATTTTATTTGTAGAAATTATAAAGATCATTAAATTGTCTCCCTAATGCTACTATATTCATATATACTCATCTCATATTTGAATTTCAATATTACCGTGATACATTAACAAAATAATATGTGGTGTAGCACGGATATTCCTTTTGTTTGTTTGTGCTCTATCGTAGTGGAGTTGAGTCCTCTGTCTGGCGCGTAGTGGGGTTTATGAGCTCGTTGTTGTTCAGGCTGCTCTCTTGGTTCATGTTATGGTCTCAGGGTTCATGTTTTGCGAGGTCATGTTCTTTGGGTGCGCCTACCCGATGATATTTTGTTGTCGAGGCAACTACTTGCTTTTTCCGTTTGCCTTTGATTTTGCGAGGATGTATCAAGACTAAGCAATTTGCAGCTTTTCTCTTGTGAGGAGGTGACTAGTTTGCAGTCTGTAGATGAT